CCAGCAGCCTGGGCCGTGCTCAGTGACCACAGGGCAGGAAGGAGGGCAGAGCCGGACCCCCGCTGACTCTTGCTCCAGGTCCTGGCCCGGCCTCTTTCCAAAGGGATCCCAGAAAGGCAGACTAGGTGTGCCAAGCCCTTTCTCGGTGTGGACACTGTGTTGTCCGCTCTGCACGTGCTGTCCTGTTTAATCCCCTCGGCCACCCTGGGAGCGAGAGGTTTCATTATCCCCATTTTATGGATGAGACAACAGAGGGAGGAGAGAGGTCAAGTCACTGTCCCAAGATCACACAGGTAGTACATCAGTGGCAGAAGACGTGGGGACATAAGGCACGTAACCACAAAAAAGACATTAAAATACTCAGGAAGAAAGACCAAAGCAAGCATTAAAAGAAAAAAAAAATTAGCCATGTACAAAGACAGCAGGGAAACACGCAGCATTTTATACTTGTGGCTCTGGGTCCATCCTGAGGGTCCTAGCAGGTAGCTCTGTGGCAGGGCTGTGTGGTCTGACGGGGGCGCCCCGGGGACCGTAGTAGGGATCCCCAACTCTCCTCGGAAGCCCCCAAACAGCCAGTCCCTCAGGCTGCGCGGGGATGACCGGGATGGCCTTGCCTGCGCCACTCTCCACATCTCCTCTCCCAGCCTCATTAGGAACGGGCGCTTGCAGATGTTCTGATTTTTTTTTCCCATTAAAGAAAAATAATGTAATTCACAATATATCTCTACTTGGTCCAAAACCTGCTTATTAAAAATCTACTTTTGGGGAGCAGGAGAATAAGTGGCATGATTCCCCGTGGAATGATCTCCGTTACGCCTAATTTTGATGGCTGGAAAATAGAATTACATTCTGCTCCTAATTCTACTTGCAGCGTCTCCCGGCCCTGCGTTAATAAGGAAGATGGAAGAGTGTCTCCTTCAGAGCACCGAGCTGCTTTCCCCTTCAGTCCCTCATTTCCTCATCCTTTGATTAGATTTTTAATCCTCTTTGCCCTTGAACTTCTCCTGCTCTGCTCCACCTTCCTTCCCCTGGCCCTTGGCGGGTGGGCGGGTTCCAGCAGAGCCGTGCAGTACGGCTGCTGCGTCCCACCTGGGCAGGTGCGTGTCCTCCAGAGCCCTGTCCGTGCTCAGCCAGCCGGCTCCCCTGCTTGAGGGAACCAGGGGACTTGCCGCTCCAGAGAGATCTCCGCCCTTCACAGGACACTGTTCTGCTGGTCAGAGCCCAGCCCCACCGCTGCCCCGGGGCTGTTTGTGAAGACCCTGGGGGTCGGGAGGGGGCCGTGAAGGAGGAAACTCCAGCGTTTCCTCCTCTTCAGAACACCTGAGTCCTGCAGGACCAAAGTCTTGGCTTTGCACATCCCAGCTGTGTGACCCCAAGTCCCTCAACAGCTCTAGGACTCTGATTTCTCAGCTCTAGAATGACTGGGGAGGAGGAAGGTAAAATGGAAAACCGTAAGCGAAAGTGCTCTGCCATCTGCAAGGAACTGTCTGAATGTCAAAGAATGTCATGGTTCTAACGGAAAGAGCCCTGGGCTGGGAGGCAACAGTATTAGCATAGTGCTTAGTGCGTAGTAGGTGCTTAACAAACATCTGAGCGACTTCCTTCCCAAAGCTCAATAAAGAATTGGAGCAGAGGAAACAGGGTGCACCCAAAAAGCAAGAGAGACTGTGGCTAGACAGAAGAGAGAACTTCCCGTCAGGCTGGTGAGACATTCTACCCAACATTAAAAGACCGTGGGACAATCTTTACCTGGAGATATTTACATCCTTCCCCCTGTCTCTTCACACCCCTGCTATGTACGTGGGGTGTCCCATTCTGTCCTTCACTGGGCTTGTGGCAGTCAGCACCAGAAAATCTTTGATTCTGCTGCACCAGTCAATGGGACGAGGACACCGGACAGGGAGGACCACCTGGTGGGATACAGCGTTTCCTAACTGGGTTCCATGAGATGCCGGCATCACGCAGACTTTACGATGAGCATCCTTGTAGGGCTCCTAGTCGAGCTTATTTGAAAGGTGATGAAGTAAATAGTTGTTTTGGCCACAGGACATCTGAGAGTGTCCACGCCAATGTGGAATTTGAATTTCCTCCATGAGGGGAAACAGAATGAAGGGTTACCCAAACTTTTTGTCCCCACAGAACTCTTTGTCTGCAAAGCACTTGTCACCAGAGCAGGGCTGTCCCACAGAACTTTCTGCAATGACGGGCGTAGCCTGCATCCGTGCTGTTCAATACGGCGCCGCCAGCCATGTGTGAAATATAGCTAGGGAGACTGAGGGACTGAATTTTCAATTTTATTTCACTTTAATGAGTTCGTATTTAAATTGCATATAGCCACATGTGGCTTGTGGCTACTGCCTTGATCAGCATAGACCCAGAGGAAACCAGAGTGGGAAATACTGCTGTCATGGTGATGGTGCGTCCGACTGTGATGCAGGGAACGTGGTTTAAGTCCCAGCTCTCCCACTTACTGACCGGGGGACTCTAGGCAAGACAAGCTCCTTTCTGGGCCTCAGTTTCCTGTTCTCTAAATGAGGGGGTTAGAATCTACGTTCACTGATCATAGCCAAACCGCCTCCACGGAACCCCTGTCTGAGAACTCTAGTGTACCCCGATTCCCTAGGAGACCAGACTCATCATTTCACTGTCTTAATCACTTCGTGTCCATGGGCCCTGCTTAGCTTTCCCACAAGGCTGCTCCAGGTTTGAGAACAGAGGCTGGGTGCTGTTCTTCTCTTACGTGTCACACAGCACCTAACAGAGGACATGCCTGGCACATAGGAGATGCCCGAGAGGTGCCGTCGATCGACTGAGCGAGGGCCTGGTGTGCCCTTGCACGTGCCGGACTTCTTTCTCCAAGTCTGAGGGTCCTCAGCTCCTTGGTCTAATTCCAGTTCTCCAACCCCCATCCCCTTTTCATGTACCCAAGGCCACTTGTTCTCCAAGGGCACACCCATGAGTGGAGCTGCCTTTCCTCTGACGACATTCTTCAGGGGGAGAGAGCTTCAGGGCCCTCAGCTGACACATGAACACGTCTTCCTCACCTGCTACTCAAGGGTCTCTGCTTCCTCCCTCAGCCTCTCTTTCCAACTTTTTCTTTTTCCTTTTTGAGACAGTGTCTCACCCAGGGCTAGAGTGCAGTGGTGTCATCACAGCTCACAGCAACCTCAAACTCCTGGGCTCAAGCGATCCTCCTGCCTCAGCCTCCCAAATAGCTGGGACTACAGGCATGCGCCACCATGCTCGGCTAATTTTTCTATTTTTTTCTAGAGACGGGGTCTCACTTGGGCTCAGGCTGGTCTGGAACTCCTGGCCTCAAGTGATCCTCCCACCTTGGCCTCCCAGAGTGCTAGGATTACAGGCGTTAGTCAACACACCTAGCCTCTTTCCATCTTTAACCAGTATCAACGCTAGGCTCTGACCAACTCTCCCTAGGCACAAACATCAGATTCCTGCCTCACCCCACTTCTCGTCTGACATGCCTTATCTCTCTTCTCCATTTATCTGAATCTTTTGCATGCTTCAAGATCCACTTGAAGCCCTGCCTGGATCCTGAAGCCTTTGCTAGCACCCCTGTGCTCAGGGACCTCTCCTTGACTAGCCACACTGCACATCTGGCACTGAGCATGAATCACGCTGTGCCTTGTCACACTGGTGGCAGGGGTCATATCAAGAATATAGGGAGCTCTGGACAGAGCTTTCAACTTGTAGTGAAAAGACCTGTGTTTGAGTTTGGGCCCTGCTATATTTGAGTTGTGTCACCCTGGGCAAGTCACTTCACCTCCTGGAGTTTCAACTTCCTCAACATTGCAAAGGAGGATTCCAACACCTCCCAGCCCACCGGGTGGTTGTAACAGAGCTGAGACTCAGTTGCTTTGTTTCTTGGGTAGCAGAGAGTAAATACTCGATACATCTGTGTTGAATAATAAATGAATTCACGCACATGTGGAGGCAGCCAGGTGCAAAGGTCTGGTGAAATAGGTGGTCGTGACCCTTGACAGGGAGGTGGCCTTTGTATTTGGACGCTGTGGGATTTCAGGCTCGAGGAAGAACTTAAGAACGCAGAGCAGTTCTAAGGAGCCAGAGAAAGGAGCCCTCAGGGAAGATGGCAGTCTCGCAGTGCAGCCCACAGAGACCTGAAGGGTAAGACCTGGACAGGTGAGCTACGCAGGACACAGATGCTGGGGGCTCGGGCACTGGGTTCCAGGGGCAGCCAGTGGCCAGCACCTGTCTGACCGCATGTGAGTAGGCAGCTGCCACCGGGCGCACACAGGTGCACAGATGCTGGAAGGTGCTGGCTTAAATTAGCTAAATCTCATAAACACTAAATTTGTGTCACAAATTGTCTGATAGTCACAGAAAATGCATTTCCAAACCCTGCATTTGCAAAAATATGCTTCATCAGGAATTGACCCTGGACCTTGTTCCATCAGCAAAACCTGCTCTCCAGGGGGAAGAAGCTCTTCAACCCATCAAGAGCAAATGCATCCAATTTTATATTTTCCCTCTCTCTCTTTCTTTTCGTATCTCCTTAACAATGAGGCTGAAAATGTAGGAATTGAGTTCGCAGATGCAAAAAGGCTTGGCAGCTGGCCAGCTCCCTGTAACCTAGTTCCTCTTGTTCTGCTCGAGCCCGGGGAGTCCTGGCAAGGGTGCTCCTAGACACACTCCCTGTCGCTCTCTCACACACGCAGATACCGCCCAAGGACACACGTGGATGGGAACGCCCAAACCCATGCCCTGTGATCTAAGGGAAGCCCGATCACACAGCAGAACCTGGATATGAACCCAAGTCTGCAGACTCCAAACCCACTTGTTCTTCGCCTTCCTGAGTCCTTCCCCAACCCGTCTCTAGGATGTGCGGATTCACGGGGATGTCTAAGGGCTCCACTCTGCTGGGGTGCTAGTGGGCAGTGCTGCAGTGGGGGGGGGGCACAGGGTGTCAGGGGGAAAGCAGCAAGCCTGGCCTCTCTGGGGCGGAGCCGGCCGGGGACACTTACATTCTGCTTTGGCACAGATGAGGCAGGCGGTGGTGCAGTTGAAGAAGTTCAGGATCCCAGCCACAGCCACGCTGATGTCGGTGTTGCTGGGGTGGAGGTTCAGGGTTGTGAATCTCTGGAACTGGAACTTGACAAACTCCTCTGGGGCCACTTTGAAATGAGGGACCTGGCAGAAGGAGCAAAACACGGGCCGGCCGCGGGGAGGATCCAGGAGAGTGAGAAAGAAAGAAAGAGTGATGAGTGAGCCAAGCTGCAGAGGGCGTATTCTTCTCTGCCCCACCTTTGCCGCACACCAATGGGAGACGGCGCTGGTGGGACCCAGGGCACCTGCTCCATGGGGTGAGACACGATCGGAAGACCCAGGAAGGAAAACCGTTTGGCCAGAAACCCAGACTGGTGTATTGTGGGCCTGGCAGGTGGGGCCTGTGGCCCTGAGAAAGCAAAAGAATAGGTCTCTATTCTCAGAGGAGCCGCTGGCTGCTGGGCGGTGAGACAGATGGCTCTCGAAAGCATGATCCTTATATTTTATCTGTAGTTAATAAGTCAGAGCAGAGATGGCAGGAAGAGAAAAACATTGCACTGGGGACTAACAGAGGCGGCCCGCCAGCCCAGCCAACAGGTATATAAACCAGCTCCCGACAGACCTCCTGCACGAGTACCCAGGGAGAGGAAGGGGCAGCGAGGGGCTCCTCTGCGGGTTATGCATATGGGGAGGAAGCACCGCAGGTGAGAAACCATCTAGAGAACCTCGTAAGGGAGCCAGGTAAATGAATACCTGCTCTGGCTTCATTAGGACAGTCAGCTTCCCTCTGCGTCAACTTCGCTCTGCATCTATTACTGACATTTCCAGAAGGCACTGCCCTGCCTTCCTCTCCCAGGAAAAAAGACATTAAGAGGCTGTGATGGCTGCTTTATCGGCGGCTTAGGCTATTTGGCAGGTAATAGGAAAGTTAAAACATAATCAGCTGCCATCCACCTTGATTTTATTCTGCCACCCTCAGCTCTGATACCCAGAGCTGGGAGAGCTGACGCAGAGCATGGGTTTGTACTGATGTTAAAAGCAAGTAAGATTGAGGGTGGACAGCAGGAAGAACTTCTGGTGGTGAGTGGGTTGTCTTCTAGAATGGATTATTCAGAGACGATTGCAGAAGTTTCCTTTGCTTGGCCTGGCCCAGAGGTTATCTTGCCAGGAGTCTGGGAAGATACTGAGTGGTCTCTGTAGGATTCTGCCGCCTCTTCCTTTTAAGTTTCTAGTAGAAGTCAGTCGGCCAGAGACCACAGCTCCTCTGAGACTGAGATGGGAGGGAGGTAAAGATTCAGCAGAAACTAGGGAGAAAATTCCTGAATTCAACTGGGATTAGCCCTTGAACCATAGAGAGAGGGCAACCAATATTTTTCAGTAGAGATGGAAACGTGTGGAATTGGGGAGAGCCTGGTGAGTTATGAAAGATGATTCTAAGAGTGAAGTTGACTGGGTGCATGTCATAAGGAGTCTTTCTTCCTACTTGTATTTTGCACCCCATACACTCTATCTAAAATGAGTAACAAATGGAACTTGAAAGGAGAAAGGTCACAAAGGGACAAGACAGAGGCCAAGCCCATGCAGGGGCAAGTGGCCTGGCTGGTTGGTGTAGACGTTGGGGCATCTCTGACCCAGGTCCTCCCTGCGTAGCCAGCCGGCCTGCGGAGTTCCACTGGCAGCTAACCGGGCAGAGCACCGCCACGAGCTCCCCCAGTAGCGTGGGGCCCTTAGACATCCTCGGGAATGCGCGGATCCTGGAGGTGGGCTGGGGAAGGACTCGGGAAGGTGATGAACAAGTGGGTCTGGAATCTGCAGACTTGGGTTTGCATCCAAGTTCTGCTGTGTGATTTGGGGGCAAATGGCTTAACCTGTCTAAACTTCATAAAAATGGAGATAACCATAGGTGCTTCTTAGCACTTTGGGAGGATAAAATGAGGACCTGTGTGTAAAATACATAACAGCTCAGTACTTAAGTAGCGAGTGCTCAGGCAGTGCCCTTCCGCTCCCTCCACAAATACAGATGCTCCCAGGAAGCTCCTGGAGCCTCTCTGAAGGGGTGAAGGTTGAGGGTCCCCTAGGAGGGGGAGCTGGAGGGAGCCTCTAGCACATCGCACCCTGAGGCTTGCTGGGACCATGGCAGCTGCTCCGCCAGGGCCCAGACACGGAGGGCCCAGCCTTCTTGCTGGTCCTCTCTCTGGGACAAAGATCAATCTACACTGCGTTTGCAATTGCACATGGATCCCAGGGAGTCCTTGCGAGGTGTGTGGGGGACAAGGAGAGGCGAGCAGAGCAGAGTGGGGGACAGCGAGGCAGAAAGCAGCCAGCCACAGGGCTGCGGAGACGGCAGCAGCATTTAAAGGAATGGGCTCCTCGGCGAGAACTCCATTGCTTCTTCCTGGGGCTGGGGGGAGCCGGCGCAAGGCCGTTCAGCCTCATAAAATATTAAAAGAAATGCATAATCTGAATGGAGAGGAAAGGCTGCTCTAGGAGGAACACGACCAGACAAAGACCGGGAACAGCCCGGCTGCTCCGTGGCACACGGGCAGGGGTGGCAGGATGCAGGACACAGGGCCTGGCCTCTGGCCTGAGATGCCAGAAGGGCTTAAGAGACACGTTGGTGCAGATGAGACACCCACGGAACCCCAGAAGAGGCCACGCTGGAGGGGACTTAGGGGAGGGCTGTGCGGCACAGTGAAGAGTCGTGGGGGATGGGGAAGAGAAGGAGGGGGCAGAAAGGAGGAAACAGGAAGCCAAAGTCTTGGCAACCCCATGTGCTGAAGGTCAGGGCCGCTGCTGGAACAGCAGCCTGCCACAGAGCTGTTTCTTGGAGCAGGCGAGAGAGATTTAAGTGACACATTGGCTCTGACTTCCTGGGCAGAGGTCTGGGAGGGACAGAAGCTGCTTTGTGGCCTGGTCCGGCTCCAGAGTTGTCCTTGAGGATATCTGGGGGGGGGGGCCTGGGAGCAGCCCGGCTGCTGCAGGAGCGAGGCCACCGCAGACTTGTCCCTGCAGACAGCATTGCTGAGAATGGGCTCATAAAATAGGGAAGAAAAATCTGCCCAAAGCCTCAGGGACTCGGCAAGCCCTCCGATCATAAGAGACAGTTGTGGCATCAAGGAGCTAGGGTCCGACGGGGGCCACGGGGGCAGCTGGCTGAGGACGCATCTAGTCTGCCCCGCAGAGGGTGTGCCATCCTGTTTCTAAGAACTAGATCCTTCTAAGGCGGAAGCTTCCAGAAGCCTGAGCCTCCAGGCCTCTAGGACACGGGCAAGATCGATGCTTCCTCCCGTGTCCCTCCCCGGCCACACCCCTGACCTCGAGCCTCCATCTGCCCCCTAAAGACCCCGTCTCCCAGAGGTACGTGGAAGAGGACGGACTGATGGGCCCCAGGAAGGACCAGGAAAGATGCCGGCACGAGGCAGAACAGGGAGGGGGCAGTTACTCTGCCACCCCCCCCTCCCATTTCCTCCTCCCCCGGACCCAGAACGAGAGGAGAGGGGCTCGACACTCCGCAAACCCGGCGAGAGCCGCAGCGGAGGGAGAACGGGCTGCTTGGAGAGGTAAACACCGGAACTGGTGAGTGAGGAAGAAAGCAAAATAAAATATCCTTTCTAGAGAACGCATAAAGCAGAGGCTCTCAAACTTTATTTTAGCAATAAAATGTAGCAATGTCTTCCCCTAAAGGCCTTCTTCCCTCGAATCCCACTCCATAAACAGACACCCGCGGAGCTGCTCACGCGGATGTGAGTGTGGACACTCCCACTTCTGCCTTCTGGGCCTCCCCTGACCACCACCCTCGCCGGCCTCCCCCTCCGGCCTCCACCACCAAGAGGCCACTGGAGACACCACCAGGGGGCCCTAAGACTCGGAGGCGCTCAGCTTGAAACACCCGCTGTCCAACACCGGCTGGGGGACCCCTGCGTGCAAACACCCCGGGACAGAGTTGGTGCTCAGCAAGGGCCACTTCTCCTGTGTCTGTGTTGATGTCGTTGTGATTAATGGCAACAACCCCGCCGTGATGGGCTCCTCCAGCCCTTAAAAATCATCCCTATCTTTGGGCCCTGGGCACAAGCTCCAGCCCGCAGGTGTCCCCCCAACCCCGCCCCGCACTCACCTCCTTCTCCCCACAGATGTTGCTGATGATGGAGCTGGAGGCTGGGCTGGACGAAGGTCCCAGGACCGCGACCACCCCCTTGGGGAGGATCTGGCACACTGCAGCAGCGGCAGGGCGGGAAAGGAAGCAAGGCGCGGGTCAGGTCGGGCTGCGGCGGCCGCCAGTCCGCTGGTCTCCGCCGGCCGCCCCTCACCTCCTGCCCACCCCTCCCCTGCCTCCCCAACCCTCCCAACCCCAGTGTCCTCCCTTCTCCCCCCTCGACTCCTGGGCTCCAGGACAGTTTTATTGGAGTTTATGGACAGTATTAAATGAGGAAATGACCCAGGTTATGACAACATACGGCCACAGCCTACAAGGGATATAAATTGTCAGGGCTGTCACCGAAGGACGGGGGCTGATGGAGAAACCTGCAGATTCCGTCCCTCGGCCTGGCCCGGCCTGCAGGGTGGGGGGGGGGTGTGGGGTGCCCTGGGGGTGGGTGCTGCAGGGGCTGGGGGCCCAGCTCACAGAGGGGCGGCCCAGTCTACAATCTCTTAGGCCCCCCACTACGCAGACAGTCTGGGAGGAGGAAAGGCAGACAGGCAAGGGGACAGAGGGTGGTGAGGATAACGCAGACACAGAGCAGAGAACAGATGCAGCTAAGGTCAAAGGGAGTGGGAGAGGGAAGAGGAAGGAGAATGCAGGAAGCAGAGAGGAGTCTCCCCCTGTTCCCCCTCACCCCGAGCCTGGCACGCTCCCTTCCCTGAGCCTGTCTGGTCGTCCTGACAAACCAGCATGCCCGGGACCTTGTGTGTCCCCATTGGGGAAGGTGTCCTTCCTCCCTCCCTGAGGCCTCCTCCCCGGGCCTTCCTGAGCTTCTTTGGGTGTAACTATCCCTGTCTGGGGCTCCCAAGGCCCAGGGTTTGTGCCTCTCATCTAAGACACTTGTAACTGTCTATTTCAGTTTGCTGTTCAGAGTTCTCCTCTCACTTGATTTCAACCCTCTTAAGGACAGGAACTGAGCCACGTTTATCTCTAACTGCCCACTTCTCGCTGGCTCAGTGTCCAGCACAATGTTTCCTAGATTGCAGGTGCCCAGTTCATATTCGCTGCGTGAAGGTGTGAATGAATGGGACGTGTGGTCAGAAGAAGAGAGAATCCTAAGATTTTAAAGCACTAGAGACTGAGAACATGAGCTAATTCTCAGTGCACACGCTGCAATATCAGAGCCAAGGAGCTGCCCCAGAAAATGCATCGAGGTTCCCCATCGCACAACACGACATCCTTGTCTGCAAAACTCAAAGCTTAAGTCCACACACATTTTCTGCCCACTCACAACAGAAGCCAGGCAGAGCCATTTCCCCGGCCAGGCAACTGAGGTTAAGGGATCGGCACAAGGTCTCTTGTTGAGTCAGCTGCAGAGCCACACCTGCAACCCAGATGCTCTTTCTCTTAAGTTGGAGTCCTAACCATTAGCCCACACAGCCAGGTGATCACCTGGATGGGGCATAGATGACAAGGTAGAACACCAAGGTTCAAATCCAAGCACTGCAACTTACCATATGAACCACAGATCTTCAAGGTCTTCTCTTAATCTACGGCTCAGGGACAACATCCAGAATCTCAGTGACAGAGGCTGCAGGCAGAGGGTACCTGAGGAAGCCTCATTAGCACTAAGTGACAGAACCACCCGCTGTGGCAGAAGTAGTGATGATGGGGCTTTGCCTCTGAAGAGCCTCTCCAAAGTTCAAGCAATTTCCACATGAGTTATCTCACGTGATCTCAACCAGCTTAGCTCTCACCGCCTGCTAGGTGCTTCAAGTTCATCTTCCCATCAGATCCCTGCAACAGCCTGGGGAGGGGTCTCATCTGATGATTTGGCCTATAAGGACATAGCACCCCAGAGATGTTAAGTGCCACACCTTAGGTGACACACCTACCCAAGGCCAGAGCCAACACCTGGATTCAAGTTTCTGACCCATCCAGCGTTCATGCTACCCCCTCCTAGTTGCCTACTTGTCTGCACTGCCCTGCAGCCAGCCACTCCTGCGCCCAGCTCTCCCCAGCCCCTGACAGTCGGGGTCCTCCCGCCCACCTCGTTTACTGAATCTTGCTTTCTCCAAATGACCTTTATCCGTTCTCATCCTGGACTCTTTTTACAGCGCTTGAGGTTCACGGATTGCATTGTCATCTTGAACTTCATAACGCTGTCTAATCCTGACTCTCAGCTGGTTCTCTGGTCAGTCTTTCTCTCTGTCTTTGCTGACTCTTCTCCCACATGCTAAACTAGCAGGCTGCAGCCACGCCTCGCTCTCCCGGGGCGGTCTCGCCCTTGCTTTCGGCCTCCACCCGCGTCTCTGCCCAGATGACCCTACACTCCGGACCTCCGTCCTGGGCTACAAATCAAGTTCCAACCACCCGCTGGACCTCGCCACAGGGTCTTCCCTCCGGCATCTCACGCTTAACGTGGCTGAGTAAAGCACAGTTGGACTCTGATGCAAGATGGTCTGGCTTTGAGTCTCTGTCACTTCCTCGCCTTGGGACCTTAAGCAAGTGACTGAACCTCTGGGCCTGTTTCCCTACCTATAAAACTGGGATACTAACAGCACCTTTCTCAAGGGGTTGTTGTGAGAATGCAAGTGCTCAGAGTGGTACACAACGTGCTTGCCAACCCTCTGCTGATTATCCTCACTACATCGGATTTGTTGCATGTTCTTCATGATTTGATTCGATCTTCACACTTCTATGAAGAAGATGCATTCTTAGCCCCACTTTACAGATGGGGAAACTGAGGCTTAGAAAATGTAACTCCTTGTCCAAGATCACACAGGTAGATCACATAAGGTAGAACTGGCCTGGAACATGGAGATCCATCTTAGCCACTCTGCTGTACTCCCCTTAGCTCCTCAAGCTCAAAGCCATAGTCACCCTTCACTCTTTCCTGCCTTCCTTAACTAAATCAGCTCATTTATTGTACCAATCAGGGGCCAGATTCTGACCATTTGACCTGCTCACTCCCTGCCATCATCTTCTTCCTCTTCCCACTGCCACTGTTCCAGGTCAACCCTGGAACTTTTTACAACTTGCCTTCCTGCTCTGTCTCCAGGATTCCTCATTCCCAGTCCATTCTCCAAACTGTGAGGCAGATTGTAATCCGGAAACAGAGATCTGGGTGCTCCTCCCAGGCAGGGAGCTTCTCTTATTTCCCTCTGCATCCTCCATACCCAGAATAGGGCTTTACTCGGAGTTATGTGCCCAATAAATAGTTCTTGGACCACACTGAAGCCCACTCAACACTGTCAATGGAAAATTGGAAATAAACTAAATGTCTAATCACAAGGGAACAGCTATATAAAGTACGGGTCATGTGCCCAGAGGGAATATTATTTAGGCATTTAAAATGCTTATGAACATTTTATAATAGCATTAAAAATATTTATGTAATAATATTAAGAGAAAGAAGCAGGATATAAAATTACATGCATATCTATATGAAGGCTACAACTAAGCAAATACAGAGAACAGTTACACATTGAGGGATGATTAGAAGAAGATGTTATTAAAGACAACACTTACTGAGTGCTAATTGCAGCCTGTTCGAAGCACTTAACAGGAATTGACTTATTTCATTCCTAAAACAACTTGACGTAACAGGTACTATTACTGTCATTCTCATTTTACAGACACAAAAACAAGACAGAAAAATTGAAGAGCAGAGTCCAGATTCAACTGCTCAACCCCCTTCCGCAGGGACCAGGGCCTTAACCACGGCGACACGCGGCCTCCCCAGTTAACAGGGATTAACTGGAACGTTCCTAGAGATTGCCTTGGCATGGTGTGATCTTCTTCCCTTTTTCCATTTCTCTACTTTCTATAATAAGCATGTACTCTCCTTTTATAACATGTTATAAAAATACAATGTTATGATAAAAGAATTTCTTCTGATGAGCAAGTAAAATTTAAGTGCATCTGACCTCTTGGAGACCCCCCTTCCAGCCCTTCCTCCCGCCATGCCAGCTCACCCCAATGGCACTCCGCATGCTTTCCTGCCTAAGCCTGTTCCCACGTGGCTATCTCTGACTAGACCAGGGGTTCTTAACCTGCGCCTGGGATCTGTGGGTAGAAGTCGGGGGTCTGGGAACATCTTGGGGGGGATCATTATTATTTCTAACCCCTAAGTGAAATGTAGCATTTCCTTTCATTTCGAATGTAGGTGACAACCCTCGGTATATTAATAGTACCTGTGACTTTGTCTCCAACAGAAATCACCAGTGTTTCATATCATATTACGGTTCTGCGGATATCTTGAACTATCATTTATATTCATTATTACTTTGAAATTAAGCTAGTTAGACCCATCCTGGGCTTGGCTATTGAATATATTGATGAAGAAGCACACATATTAATATATCACTATTAAAATATTTTAACTGCATTTCTACATAATTGGTTTCCATGGTCATACCACCTATTTTATTTTATTCGCTTAAAACATTATTTTTCTGAGGAGTCCATTAGCATTCTCGGTCTGTCCTGGTCTAGGGCCTAGACTCTGGGTCCTCTCTTGCCCTTCCTCTTGGCAAACTCCTACTGATCCTCTCCCACCCAGCTCAGATCTTGCCTCTGGGCAGGGAGGCGTCTCTCCCCCTCTCTATTTGCGGCACACTGCGGCTCTGAGTCAGCTCTCCTTAGGAGACAGGGCAGCTTCCCTCTTCTCTGAATTCCTGGCCAGCTTCTGGCCTAAGCAGGCTGCTGATGTTGGGTTTCAACAGAGGGAAGTTTCTCCTGAAAACAAATTCTCAGAGCAGGCCACAATTCCTTATTCCCAATTCCAAACGCCAAAAGGCTCTGAAACTGGATGTTTTCCATCAGACATCCCTTGGGAGCAAAATCTGATCTCAGCAGACAGATGTGAAGCTATTTAAAATATGTGAATATTCGAACATAAGTGTGTATGTGCTTGAGTACGGGGCGTTGCTGGACATATAACTTAGGCACGGTCTATGCACCACATGAGCTTCCCAATGTCTCAAAAGTTCTGGATTCTAAACACATGGGGCCTCAAGGGTTTGTGGACCTGTGTCTTCCACACTGAGCTCCTCACACACATGTCCACGTG